TTTTTTGCTCTCTTGCCCCGGGGGGGTTTGGTTGGTTTGCAAAAAAAAAAAAAAAAAAAAAAAGCATGCATATATTTTTTGAAACAGTACCAATTGTAATGTAAATACACATTGCTTCATGAGTATAGGGAAAAATGGGGGTGGAATTTTATGAATCATACCGAATCCTATAGACGAAATCCTGGTTTGTAGAACTTTTATAAACATCGAACTCTACCTTTTGAAATTCTTTTTTTTTTTCTTTTAATGATTCATTAAGGACAAAAGGCTGCTAGAAGCCAGCAGCTAACGTGACGCCCGCTGGGTTCGTGCCACCCAGAGGTGCGGGCAGCCCGGGCGCTCTTGGCCCGTCCTTGCCTCCAAGGCAGGCAGCGCCTGGTGCGTGTTGGAGCGCGTGGGCTGTGTCCGCGGTCTCAGGTACTCGCCTGGGCTCGAGGAGACAAAACAAAACACAGAAAAACTGCAAATTGTGCCAGATTGATAAGGGGGGGTTGCGGGAAACTTCACATCAGACTAAGACCAGAGGAAACTTGAGTTTGACTTAATTTTGGATAAGAGTGCTTGTAACTCCCGCATACGTTTCAGGAGACGTCTCACCATCTTCTGCAGACCACAGTTGATGTTCAGAGCATGTATGTGACTGTAACTTTCAAATCTGTTGCTGCAGAATTAGTATTACTTAAATGGTGAATGTTTTTAATTTCCGTATCTTCAGATCTGAGTACGCTCCCACGGTCTGTCTAATACTGGAGTATTGTAACGTATCTTCTGTCGAGAAGGGCACCATGGAGCCGCGGCTGTGATGTACTACACGGGGACTGCCGCAGAGGGAGTTGTGTCTTGTTGTGTTTGGGACTTCTGTGTATATCTTGGAGTGACACTTGTGCATGAAGTGGGATTTGCTCAAACGCTGAGCAACCCAGGCAGCATCTCTCGTAGGAAGCTCCTGGGACGCCCGTCCTGCAAACAGAGGTGTGTTTAACTTTGCCCGTGAGAGCGGGTGTCAACATGACATGAGTGACATGTATGCACATCTTTGATAGCTGCAGGATTAAGATCCATGCTCCTGGGAGAGCTTAGCAAAGGCTAGATCGCAAGCCCGGGTAGGTTTAGGGGCCATTGCCTCGTGCAGGCCCCTGCCTCGAGCTGCTGCGTTTCTGACGGTGCCCCTACGGCTGCTTGCAAAACACCTGTTTCAAGGTTTACTTCCAGATAACCTATTTCCCCCGTGGAGGGACATAAAATGGAACATGCCCGGCCGCTGAGCCGGGTACGAACTCTTCCCGGGAGGGACAAGGTGGCAATGGTTGGCGCTCTCTTTACCCTAATTGGATGATGTAAACTTTCCTATGAGGTGGGAGAAGCAGTGCTTTCGGAAGACGGCCAGAGCCTGGCTGTCTGGTGCTGGATGAAGCCCGGTGAAAGGAAACCTTCGCGCGAGCAGCGGGGCAGGTCAGGACGAGGCGACAGCGCCCGGGTGCTCGGCGGGCAGAGGAGCCGGCTCAGCCCGCGGCCGCGCAGGGAGGAGAGGTCGCCCCGGGGCTCGCGGGGGCACCCCGGCGGCCCTCGGAAATTTTGCCGAAGAAA